ATTCCTATTTTTTGCTTAATTCGCACAATTGAGATTTCGCATTTTACAACTCTAAAATTCATACCAACAAACATCTACAAAAGCCAAATGCTGACTTGTCCCCTGCATCCTCAAGCATTATTGAGAACAATAACAGCCTCTTGTCACAAATAGAACTGCTAGAAGAGGGCATGAAAAGAGGTGGCTGAGGAAAGGGACAGAAAGGAGGAAGCTTTGTTTATAGGTATCATCGTGGTAGTTAAAAGAAGGCTCCTAACAACTGCATTTTTAATGAGTTGCAAAATTCCAAAAGACTCCCAGTCATCAGCATCCCACGACTCATCATTTGGGTGAACAGAAAAAGTGAAAAAAAAAGATGGAAAAGAAATTAAAAGAATTTAAGATACTGAATCAGCATCATTTGCCATCAGTGTTACAGGGCTATTTGCTGCTGCTTTGCTCTGAGATCTTTTGGCTCGCAGCTCTCTATTCCACGTTACGAATGGCTCCAGTGTGAACAAATTTTCCGTTGAAGTAAAAAATTCTTCCAAATCTGAAATGTAATAGATATCGATGAAGTGTGCTCCAAAACAAAGCGGTAAATTCGACTGTTATGGGCTTACGATTTGAAAAAAAAAAGAATGAATTTTTTGCATCAGAAAGTGGGAAATTATAATAAACAGTCTCTGGCGCGCTTCAGTGCCAACGACGAAAGTGGCAAATTTTGCATAGTTGTCAGTCAAGAGTGAGGTGGCATCATCTGATGGGCAGCCTCACTTGCTACTGGCAATTTTACCCTTCATTTCTCGTCTTTTTTCCGTCATTTTGGCGGATAGCAGTGTTGAATTTACGAAAACTGCAGTCCGACTTCTGTGTTTGTCGTGCGAGTCCAGCAGCAGCAATCTCTTCAGTACCAAAACAAAATAAATGTCGACGAGTATCACGGTAGCCAGTGCAATCATGCGTTCTGTACAGTTCTGTCCAGTAGACTTCCGCTGTTAATAATGGTGGGATCGAAATGCATGGCATCTTCCCCGTGTCCGGATGTAAGACCTAGGCGTAGGTGAAAATTGAATTATAATTTTTAGGATCGCCCCAGACAGAAAACACTGTCTAAAAATCCCAGTTTCCTTTAACTCTTCTGGTTCTTGAACTAGAAAATTCCCACATGAAAGTTCACGTTCCCGCACGTGAGATGCAGGCGTGTATCAAAATTGAAGTTGAATTTGCTAGGTCGCACATAGCAAGACGCGTCTTTCTAAAACTCTAGTCTCCTAATTTTTCCAGTTGAGGGGCTGAAAATCAGTACGAAAATCCAAAAACATACACAGATAGGGTTTCCACAATACGCGTTTCGCATCCCCATTGCAGTACGGAGCTCAAAAAACACACACACACACAAAAAAACAAGAAAAAAAAAAAATAAAAGTAAATTCACAGAAAAAGCCCGAGGCGAAAAATATTCGATTACAAAGAAGCAGTAGTAAATTCGATCTTTTCAATGAAAAGCGACGCTGCAGGAAATTTTTACAAACTATGATGCTGAAGAAATTTTCGCATACCCTTACCAATGTTGTATTTCTGCTCGTAGTGGAAAGCCTGCGCAATCATATCAAATTTATCTAAATGTTTCACAATCATAGCTTCCTTTGTTGCGTTCATCTCATATTCACGCCACAGTGAGTACCAGTCGGAGCCCGTTGCTGCTGGAACCATCTGCACGATTTTCTTCATTGCCTGTGCTCACTGATACATTTACAGTTCATGAGCTAGTAACAGAATGAACAAACTGAGAATAAAACAACTTCAAGACTAGTTATTTTTCACAATTATCGACTTAGCATTTCGCATATTTGCACTAACATACACTTATAGCCTTGCGAATTTGGCTTTCCTGTAACTTCTGAGATGATCCGCGCAGCTCTGCCAGGCTCTCTTAAATGATCCAGAAGGACTCGTTAGGCCAAGGGGGATTCATTTTGCCTCAGTCTACATATCTGCTACTTGCTATTCCAGTTAAATGTATGCAAAACATTTTCAAATTTTGTTTGAGTAGCTGTTTTCCGGCGAGCAGATGTCAATCACTGATAAATTACAACAACTAATTAATACTCGGTTCGAAAACGAAACATACTACTCACAAGGAGTAATGAGAGCGTGCAGATACTCTAAAGCACCATTTACTACTGCATCTTATGTCCTGCCCCTTTCTCTTCCGCTTACAACTCACAACCATGTATTATTACAGAACAGAAATTTATATACGTACATATATGTCTGTGCACATATATACATATACAGTAAGTGTATTTGAAAAATTAAGTAATGTAAAGAAAGAAAGAATAATTGGCCAACGCACGGGCAGCCCGTGCGAAGATGCGTTTTTTGCATGGTTCCCCGCAGTTTTTGTTGCTACCGGCACCGTTTTTTTCGGCAAATGCTTCCAGCTAAACAAAATAAGACTGCTGCCAGAACTGTCAGGAAACATCCCCTTAAAGTCTCAGCTTTCTAGCTTCCGTGGCCACTGAGTTAGCAACTTACTGGAACAAAATTTTCAAGGGCCCGTGCATGTTTACCAAGCATACCTGAGAGCTGGGTTCGAGCTGAATGAAACTTAGGTGGACCGGGGTATGTCCTCTTAAAATTACATTCCTTTAGCTTCTCAGGTAATTGAGTTAACAATTTACACGAAAAAAATTATTAAAATTACATTCCTTTAGCTTCTCAAGTAATTGAGTACACGAAAAAAATTTTGGCGGGCCCGTATGTGGGTCCCACGCTTAACCGGGGACTGGGTTTGAGCCCACTAATACCCGGTTGGGCGGGGAACACTAATCCAAGATTTCAGCGTCCTAGCTTCTCAGATCCTCGAGTTATGAACTGATCCCAAAAAAACTTTGGCGGGCCCGTACGCGGGTACCTCTCAGACCCTCGAGTTATGAACTGACCCCAAAAAAACTTTGGGGGGCCCGTACGCGGGTACCACGCGGGTTTTCATTTTGGAAATTGGGGGCGGTATGTGCATGTAGATTAAGTTCCCGGAATTTCAGCCCCGCAGCTTTTATAGGTCCTGAGATGAAAGTGC